AGTTTTTTTGTTTATTATTTTTATTTTATGTGTATGTGTGTATTGCCTGCATGTAGGTAAGTGCACCGTGTCGTGCAATGCCCGCGGAGGTTAGAAGAGGCTGTCTGAGCCCCTGGAACTGGAGTTACAGACAGTTGTTAGCTACAATGTGAGTGCTGGGAATCGAACCCGGATCCTCTGCAAGAGCAGTCAGTGCTCTTAACCGCTGAGCTGTCTCTCCAGCACCCTAATTTAAAAGTTTTTATTCTGTGTGTATGGGAGTGTGAGTGCTGTGCCTATGGAGGCTGAAGGACACTTGCAGGAGTGACTTCTCTCCTTCCACCACGTGGTTCCCAGGTCCTCAGCTTGGCGACAAGCACCCTTACTTGCTGAGCCATCTAGCCTGCCAATGTAATTGTTTTCCTTTCTTTCTTTCTTTTATAATTATTTTTCTTCTGTGTCTGAGTATATTGCCTGTAGGTGTGTAAGTGCACCCATGTTGTGCAGTGCCCTCAGAGCTCAGAAGAAGACGTCAGATTCCCACAGAACTGAAGTTACTGACAGCTGTTAGCCACGATGTGGGTGCTGGGAATCGAACCTGGGTCCCTGCAGTAATACCTGGGGCTCTTAACTGCTGAGCCATCTCTCCAGTCCCAATTGTTTTTTTAAATTACTCCTTCAAACGTGTGTCTTAGAATATGTGACTTTCTATAGCCAGTGTCCCAAAGCCTTATTTCCTTCTGTATTCAGACCATATCATAGGGAGCAAGGGTAGGAAAGACATGATTGGGAGTGTGGACTTGCTCCCCCTGGGTATTTTTCGGAACTTCTTAAAGCTCTTTCTAATTGGCTGTGGCCCTTGTCCTTCAGCAGTGGGCTTTTTGAAGTTCTTCAGATGATTAAAAAAGCATCTGATGAATGCCTCGCTGCTGATTATTCCCTCTGTGGTAATTTGGGAAGGACTGGAGCTTAAGCCCCAGATCTGCTGGCTCACTGCCCAGTGACACTGCTCTGAATGAAGTGCCTCACCTTCCAGGTCCCCGTTGTCTTCATTCAGCACGGTGTTGCAGAGCCCAGGCTGCGGACCGAAGTGAAGCCCATGATGTCATTGGATTACGCCTGGGATGAGCCCACCTTGCCACCCTTCATCACTCTGACTGTTAAGGGGGCAGGCTCCTCGGAGCTCAGCTGCAACATGAACGACTTCCAGGATCACCGACAGCTCTACTACGAGAACTTCATTTACATTGCCGCCACGTACACCTTCTCTGGGTAATTCTAGTTTAAATGGTGTCCATATAGCATAAAGGTTTGAACTATTCACTGGCTTAAATTTTAAGCAGTTTCTGGGTAGACATAAATATGGAGGAACATCTCTGCTTTCTGTTCCCAGTCCTAGGGTCAGGGTCTAACTGAGGGTCATAGTCTCCATCCTCGTCTTGCAGCCAAAGAAGTGGACTCTTCTCTTTTTAAGACCTTCCCCATTAATCAATCCTAGTATTTAACACCCTGACGAGTCTATTCCCAGACCTTACATTTCTCTCATGTTTACCATGGCATGTAACAGGGCAACCCGCGTAAGGATTAGTGTCTGTGAAACCAGTTCTGTCTGGCTGCTAGTCAGGCTTGCTTCTTCTCAGTAAATTCCAGTAGCTGCTGAGCTTCTTAACTGCAGAGTCCTAATCGAGGACGGTGAGTTCAGAGGGTGAACAACATGGAGAAGGGGGAAGAGAGGGTGGAAATCCTGCACAGAGTGGACCAGAGAACCCGATATTCTTGGTGTGCTAGAAGCTTGAACCATTTTTTGGAGTGTTTTAGACACTATTTGCTTATACTGTTGGAAGAATATAATGACAGGGAAGAAGACTAGAGATTCTTAAAATGTTTGTTTTTATTGAGGTCAAAGTCATATAACAGAAAATTAACCATTTCAAACTGAACAGTTGACATTTTATACATTCTGATGCTGTTTTGAAATCAGCCTTACCTGTTTATAAAATGTTTTGGTTGTCCCTAAAAGAACCTTCAGATGCACCATCTCCAAATGCACCCTTTTCAAATGTACCCTCTTCAAATGCACCATGAGTTATTATCCGTCCCCCTCTTCCCAGACCCCAGCAACCACTAATCTGCTTCTGTCTGTGTGTTTCCCTACGTTGGGTGTTCCATGAGAACGGATCAGCTAAGCGACCTTTTGTGTCTGGCTTCTTTCACTTGGTGTAATGTTTTTGAGGTTCATCCACATTGTGGTGTGTAGTCCTGTTTTTTATGAAACTCTTTCAGTCCTTGTGTGTGACAAATACTCTGTTGTACGTGCGTGCCTATCCATTCATTCATTGCTAGACGTTTGGGCTCTTTGCACCGTAGTCTTGTTTTGAACGTGACTGTACATGTATTTGTTTGAGGACCTGTTAATAACTAAGAATGGAGCTGCTGGGTTCTGTAGTAAATCTGTGTTGAACCTTTTGAAGAACTGCACTTGTTCTTTGGGGGACAACCAGTGCACATTCCCCCAGCAAGGGTTCTGATCTCTGCTTCCACACAATGAATACTATTTGTTTTTGTTATTACATCCGTTCTGCTGGGTGTGAAGTAGTGTCTCATTGTGTTTTTTACTGGCATTTGTCTGTTCTTACATTTAATGGTACTTTTTATAATCTTTGGTTTTTTTATTAGCTTGTTTTTTGAGACAGATCTAATTATATAGCTTTAACTGACCTGGAACTCACTTGTAGACCAGGCTGGCCTATGTCTCACAGAAATCTGCCTGCCTCTGTCTCTTGAGTGCTGGGATTAAATGTGTGGGCCACCATACCCCGCCTCCTTTCATGTTCTTTTTCACCATTTGTATGTCTTTAGAGGAGTGCCCGCTCAAATCCTTTGCACAGTTTGTACAGTTGAAGTATCTTCATTGTTGAGTTGTATTTTCTGATGTCAGTCTCTTGTCAAATACCTAATTTGCAGATGGTTCTCAAATTATGTCGATTGCCTTTTTATTTTTTGAAGGACTATTTGAAGAACAAAGTTTTTCCATTTCAAAGAAATCTAATTTGTCTAACTTAAACATTTTTTTAAATTGAGTTTTTGTGTGTTTCATACAGAACATTTCAAACAATCTTAATCATCTTTATACCCCCGTCCCCATCAGCACCTTCCCATAGCCCCCCACCCCCCACCCCCCACGCCCATATACTCTGTCATTCCTGTTAAGGCCCACTGATTTGAAGCAGTGCCCCCAGACATTCCTTCATGCAAGTCCATCCACTGAGGCTAGTCATCCTATCTAGAGTCCCTTGTTTTAGGAAGATCAGCTCTTCTTCACCTAGCAGCAATCAGTTGTCAACATTCTTTCAGATAAGACTGAGGTCTGCTGTTCAATTTCCCAGTTCTTTACTGAGTTTTTGTCTGCCTAAGTTTGCATGGGACTTGTGTATGCTGACACCATTGCCATAGAATCACATGAGCAGGTTCCCAGGAGCTTGTAATTTTATTTTATTTTTGTCACGAATGCTCTTGATGTCAAGAAGACTAATTTTTAACTGAATTTATCAGTACCTTTTGTAATAGTAAGGATTAGAAGAAACAAGCACTTACTCTACATTAAACGTCATTCGAACACTCCAAAATTGGGGGAAATGGCTCAGTGGCTAAAGTGCTTGGTCTGTAAGCATGAGGACCTGAGTTTGGATTGCCAGCACCCATCTGGAAAGTCAGGCACAGTGGCAAGCATCTGTAACCCGAGCACTGGGGAGTGGAGATAGGTGGATCTTGGGGGACTTGCTGGACAGCCAGTTCAACTGAAACAGTGAGCTCCAGGTTCAGTGAGACCCTGTCTCCAAAAGTAAGGTGGGAATGATAGAGGAAGACACTTGAATTTGACCTCCAAATATGCACAAAGAAGTGAGTGTACCTGCCCCACCACACACAGGCATACACCACACACAGGCATACACCACACACAGGCATACACCACACACAGGCATACACCACACACAGACATACACCACACACAGGCATACACCACACACACACACACACACACAAATAAGTAAATAAGTAAGAAAGTAAATAAATAATAAATAAAAAGAAGAAAAAGTACCTGAAGGGGAGCTGGGATGCAGCATCCTGTAAGGCCTGGTGTCTTTAAGCCACAGGGAAGCACCACACACGTAAATCAGAGGAAGGTGATTATTAGCTTCTTGGGTTTTTCGTTGTTGCTTTTTGGTTTTGGGGTTTTGTTTGTTTGTTTGTTTGTTTCATCCTTAAAGGACTTCCAATTTCTTGCCAAGACTTGGGAGTGCAGTGGTGCTGATGGCAGAGCTGCACTAATGGCTTCGTCCTTGGAATGTCTGCCTTGGTTCTGGTTTTTAGGGTTCCCCCCTGAAAATATATGGCCATCTTTTTATGTTTGAATTTTATGGCATTGAAATTATGAGGAGAGGGAAAATGCCAGTGTATTTTATTTCTTTTTTAATGTGTATGCGTTATGTTTGCTTGTATGGAAGTGCACCTGTGTTGTGTAATGCCCATGGAGGATAGAAGAGGACCTCGAGCCCCCTGGAACTGGAGTTATGGATGGTTGTTAACTGCCATGTGGGTGCTGGGATACAAACCCAGGTCTTTTGCAAGGACAGTCAGTGTTCTTAACCACTGAGCCATCTCTCCAGCCCCTAGTGTGCATATTCTTACAGATGAGCCTTTGCTTACCAAGTCAGGCTTTTTCCTTCAGTGTTTCAAATTTTTCTTTATTTAGAGACAGATTCTGTCTGTATAGCCCTCCTTATGTTTCCTGAGTGCCGAGATTACAGGCATGTGCCAAAAACTTCTCTTCTGTAATAAAGATTTATGCTTATAGATCCTCTCTCTCTCTCTCTCTCTCTCTCTCTCTCTCTCTCTCTCTC